GCTCCAAACACGTCATTTCGGATCCTCCCGATCCACTAACGGTGCTTTTAGGTACCTCAAGCACCGGTCACCGTTCTCGTCGAACCCGTCGCTTGCGACGAAGGGCTCGACGAGTAAATTAACCCTCAGACACAGGCCACTGAGTTTCTCGCCTGATCTTCTCAGTGGGTCGCGTTTCCGATCTGGTGGTAGATTCTGCGAAGCACGGCTCTTGCTAGAGTTGTGTTAGCAACGTCGTTAGGTTTGAGTCCCGTGAGCTCACCTACTAGTTAAGGGTACGCTGATATAGCCTCTTGAGACTCTCAGCTTAGGTAGGAATAAAAAAATAGATCTGTTCAAATTTATCACACTGAGATTGTATTTCGGCTCTCATCACGCATTTCTTGTCTGCAACTCCTCGCAAGTTCTCGATTCATCAAAATCAAAATCGAAAAAAAAAATTCAACATAAATAAGAGTACATACTTGTTGAACGTCAAAAAGAACTACCGCCGATTCACAAAAACTAGCCTCCGTCCTGAGAAGAATTGGCAAGAAACTCAGCGGGCATGTCTTTTTTTTTAAATATTCATTTTTACAAGGACTATTATAACGTAACAATTATTGCAATATTGAAATGCTCGGAGCGAGCAACTCATTCTCACTTTGTGCAATCTTCTATCGCGAATCTTCATCTCATTTACTGGTGGTAGGATCTCTTGTGAGTACGCGCGGGTAGGTACCACCGCCCTGCCTATTTCTGCCGTGAAGCAGTAATGCGTTTCGATTTGAAGGGTGGGGCAGCCGTTGTAACTATACTGAGACCTTAGAACTTATATCTCAAGGTGGATGGCGCATTTACGTTGTAGATGTCCATTATAGACATCAGAACGTGAATTCCCATCACGCATATACATAAGCCGAAATCAGCCATAAACCTGAAAGCCCCTACGCGTCAATAATTGAAATGAAGCAGTTTTAAAGTATTCGCGCTAACTATTGTAACTTACGAAGGTTTTCTTCACGATCAAGCGTAGTATAACAGAGGCAATATTTTCTAACTACAATAATAACTATACTAAATGAATATATATACCTATATTACATATAGGTTGGGATATTCGAGTCGAGTGCATAGCGCGCGGCTATTAAACTTTATTGCAACATAAACCGCACAAAATTCCCGTGCAATCAATAAACTACGTGTCCGTTATATCGATTGTAGAATCGCCACACGGTCACACGTCCGAGAATCGATTGAATATCGATACGACGGTTATTATTCACCCAATAAATTAGTTATCGAATCGATTTAATAGGCCGATACTAATTTTTGAGCGGAACATTCGAAACGCTGCGAGTTTTATTGCGTTAAAGATTTACTAGATATGATTCAGTTTGAAAAAAAAAATTTATTTTTTATTTCGCACTTCCTAAATATGGTTTTAGTATGGTACTTGTTGACATGTTGAAAAAACAGTAAACGACAATGCATTATTCGTAAATCATACCTTAAATGCTGAGATAAAGAGATTAAATGCTAATGTACTGGTGGTAGGACCTCTTGTGAGTCCGCACGGGTAGGTACCACCGCCCCGCCTATTTCTGCCGTGAAGCAGTAATGCGTTTCGGTTTGAAGGGTGGGGCAGCCGTTGTGACTATACTGAGACTTGAGAACTATATCTCAAGGTGTGTGGCGCATTTACGTTATAGATGTCTATGGGCTCCAGTAACCACTTAACACCAGGTGGGCTGTGAGCTCGTCCACACATCTAAGCAATAAAAAAAAAAAGTGTTATAAAAACTACATAGATTTATGTTGAATAGTTTGGATTTAAGTGGCTAGCTTTATCTTTAATCACATCCGATCTGGTGGTAAATTCAGCGAAGTACTGCTCTTGCTAAGGCTAGTATTAGCAAATTCGCCAGGTTGAGCCCGCGTCTTTTTTTCTTTTTTATTCCTGCCTATGCTGATAACCTTGAGAGGCTATTTCAGCTTTGCCCTAACATGTAGGTGAGCTCACGGGGCTCAAAACGGAGTGTTGCTAACACTAGCTATGGCAAGTGCAGTGCTTCGCAGAATCTACCACCGGATCGGAAACGCGACCCACTGAGAAGATCCGGCGAGAAACTCAGTGGGCTGTGTCTATGGGTTAATTCACTTGTCGAGCCCTTCCTCGCAAGCGACGGGTTCGATGAGGACGGTAACCGGTGCTTGTGGTACCTAAAAGCAACGTTAATGGAGACCCGTGAGCTTGCTGAGAAACACTCATATTTTTCAAGCTACGCCGGTTCATAATGGTTAAAAAAATCAACATTTCGTTACTGCCTAATATATATATTTTTTTAATTTAGATTACAAAATCACGAATTCTATTCCAGTCGAAATTTTACATCGATTGAAAACGGAACCAAAAACTTTAAGAACGAGCCTAACAGTAGAAAGTCAAGTCGAAACCGTATCACGATATCCATAAAGTACAAATTACGGTATAACATTTCTAGAAACAGCAAATCATCGACGGAATCACTAATTGTTTGAAATCGATTTGATACGTTTTTGATTTTTATGAAAATACCTATCATTGTAACGGCAATCAAGCCTTCAGTGTATTATGAATTTAGCGTTTGACTACGTTACAAAACGAACTCAAGTTGATATTATGAGTCACACACAAATACTCAAGTCAGTATGTACAAATTCAGGTATATTTAATGCTTGGGTGAGTCGCTCAGTTAACATAGTGAAATTGATTACACTAGTGGTCCCCGCAGTAGTCGAAATTCGACTATAATTAATTGAAATTATAAGTTTGAACATTCTTATTGGTTCTATTGTCAAACACTATTTTTTTAAGGGATTTTATGACCTGGTAACTAAAACCTTTAAGTCATGTCTTATTTTAATTTATATTCTTATTTTTATAAAAAATGATAATATGAAGTGAAATGAAATGAAGATGATTAATTTGAGACATTAATCAGCTGGGATGAAATTAAATGAAATGAAATGAGATGATATGGGATGAAATATAATCTCAGTAAAATGGTGGTCATTTACTAAGACTTTTTCAGTGTACTTTTTGGAGGATCCCGAGAAGTTACTTCCAGCGCCTTTGTTTCATTTTCCCACAATTGTGCACTTTCACGGATATTAAACAGTTAATAAACCACCATTATTACACATTTAAACCTGAAGAAACACTAAACAGACAAAATAAATCAAATCACACAACTTCACTCCTCGCGCTCCCGCCAAAAACTCTGTCAAACACTATTATACTTCTATAATCACAGGTTTCGCCAAGACTGCACCATAGATTATACACTTAATATTTGAGAAACTGCACTATACACAAATAATATTAACGACAAACAATACTAATCTATTCTAAATTTGACCACAGACTTTAAAGAATAACAAAAGTTTCACAATTGACAATTTACAAAGAGTATATTTTTACGTATGTGTTGTGTCAAATACACGGTAGTGTGTGTAATGTTTTCTTTATTGATTTTATGTATTTTTAATGCATAATTTTTAAAAAATATTAGCATTCTGCACTTCTACTCTATATTCTCTATAAGTGTGGGAAATTTCATACTACTCCGTCCGGGCAATTTTCGTAAAAAGGGATACAAAGTTTTTGCTTCACGTATTAATAAACAGATTATATTTCTGTGCTCACGGTGAAATCTTTGAACGAAAATAATTAATTGAGCGACTTTTGGAAACCTATTATTATGGTTACACACAACATTAAATCATATTATCCAGTCGGCGAGCGACCTCATAGACATAACCCACTGAGTTTCTCGACGGAACTTATCAGTGGGTCGCGATTCCGATCTAATGGTAGATACTGCAAAGCGCTGCTCTTGCTAGGGCTAGTCTTTTTACTGGTGGTAGGACCTCTTGTGAGTCCGCACGGGTAGGTACCACCGCTCCGCCTATTTCTGCCGTGAAGCAGTAATGCGTTTCGGTTTGAAGGGTGGGGCAGCCGTTGTAACTATACTTGAGACCTTAGAACTTATATCTCAAGGTGGGTGGCGCATTTACGTTGTAGATGTCTATGGGCTCCAGTAACCACTTAATATCAGGTGGGCTGTGAGCTCGTCCACCCATCTAAGCAATAAAAAAAAAACTCTCAGGTTGAGCCCCGTGAGCTCACTTACCCGCCCGGGTGTAACTAGAATAGCCCTTAGGCTACCAGTACATTATCCGGTTTTCGCGACACAATTAAAACTACTTTCACGGATCAATCTCGACGTTTTAAATGTCGTTATCTTATTGTCGATATTTTTTTGAGCAAAATACTTGTAGTTAACCACAATATTAGAATGTCGTCGAACAACAGATTATTCGTTTGTGATCACGAAAATTGTAAAATATTCGTAGCATCAATAAATAATATGATAACAATAAAAAAATGCAAGATCAAAACCGCAAAAGCAGTTTTAGTCACACAAAAATTCAACTTGTACTGTAAAATGTGAGACTTAGAACTCATGTCTCAAAGTGGGTGGCGGCATTTACGTTGTAGATGTCTATGGGCTCCGGTAATCATTTAACACCAGGTGAATCGTGAGATCGTCCACCCATCGCAACAATAATTAAATAAATAATAGTTTAAAAAAAACTAACAAAATACGCTTTTATAGAAAATCCAATTTTTTATTCAAATTTATTAAAATTTATTTTCTATTTTTTATAAAAAGGATTTTCTATAAAAAGCGTATTTGTTTAGTTTTTTTAAACTATTATTTATTAGTCATTTTTTAGATGAATTTCAATATTTCAATATATATATTTTTTTATTGAATTATCATCGGTCCTTAATAAGTATACCAAATTTCGAGTTCATCTGACGTTTTGAAGGGGATCAAAATCATGTTCAAAGATTCCGTTACATACATACGTCTGAAGCTAATAAAAGCGTAGGTATTAAAAAAAAATACCGAAAAAATCATAGCGCAACGTTTTCTTGTAACCATACCTGCCCGGTTCTAGCTAAAACTGACCTCTTTCCATTTCTTCTTCTCCTCTTCGTCGCGTACACGGTCCCGAGCTGGCTGGAGTGCGGCTGCGGCGGCGGCCGGAGCAGGCCAGGCTCCACGCATCCCTCGAGAGCGTAGCTGGCCTGCCCGCCCCAGCCGCACAGCTGCAGCTTCGGCTCAGCGGCTATCTTGACGGCTTTGAACGCCGCGTCCTCCCCTTTACGCACAACTATTGTTCACGGAGCCGTCTCTCGGCGAGGTAACGCTCACCGACAACTCATAGTCTCACTGACGGATCATGTGTTTATTTGAAAACACCAAAATTTTTTTCAAATAATTTTATTTAATAGTCACTTCTAGAATTTAACTAAAATCTGAAATGTACGTTAAAAACGATTTTATCGATTTCAGATTATCGATTTAGTCAAGACGTACCTCGAATAATAAAATCGATTTTCTAATTGCACCATCTATAGGTCGATATATTTTGGTACATTTATATTGTGATTAAGTTAGGGTTTTCGTTATGTGATTACATTTAATTCTTTGCTTGATTATTGCACTGTATTTTCGTATTAATTTAACACTCTTAGGTAAGCTTAGTTTAGGGAAGGAAAATTTTTGAGCTTCATAATTTCATAAACAAAAAACTCCAGGAATATTTATTGGAAGATACACGATCGTTATTAATTAATGTTATAAATTGAGAAGCACTTCACTTGAGTTTTATTGTTGTTTATGTAACACGGCTTTCAGTTTCCCACACCAGATGTCACTTTTGCAGACGATCGATTTTTGTTTTCTCATTTACAAAAAATAATAATCGATTTTTTTTTCTCAAACTAATTTTCTATACGACAGTACTCTTGACACGTAAACACACATGTTTTATCCTAAGTACCTCCACGCGCGATTTTGTTTTTTTTTTTTTTATTAAGCGTGGTAATACCAAACGCGTGGCGCTACCACCAAGCGCCTATAACGTTTTGATCACATATGTTTCGGTACCCTCACCGAACGTGGGCGGTACGGAGTCGGACCACGCCTCGTGACCGTGCTCCGCCAATGCCTTTATTCCGGCGACATCAAAGACAACACTGGTACGGATTGAGTGACGTAATTCGTTTTTTTTTTCTTGTCCATTTCCAGGAGCACCGAATCGTTGTTGGCATTTTCGAATGTGATTTCTAGAAAATTTAAAGAAAAGCTTCGGGTTGAGGGTGGTGTGTGAATATTTTATTCGTCTCCGAAATAAAAAGGAAATATTATTATGCATAAACCGCTCCGATTCAATAACACGAACTGAAATAATGTTAAGTATAGTTTTTGTGTATCAAATGCATTTATTTATGCGGGGCTCAACAAACCTCTTAGTATTTATTATCAAGAATTAACTATTGCTGACTATTGTAACTATTGCTTGTTTTTTTCAAGACAAATTACTAGACTTTTAGGTATCACACAGAACAAACTGATAATATATTGAGCTCTGACAATTTCTTTGGCGGTTGCTTAAAAATGCGTTTTCGTTAATAAAATGAGAACAAAATTATGATTGAATTGTTAAAATGGTTGTTAGGTATATGTAGTCTTTACGTATATGTATATTAGGTAGAAAATGCTTAAACAAATATATATCAGCCTTACAATTACTCCGTACAATGAAAAATAACATTATATTGAGCTCACAACAGCACAGTAGTTTTAGAAAGCTCCACAAAACCGTAATGCTGCATCGATTTAAAAAAATCTATTTTTTTTATTGCTTAGATGGGTAGACGAGCTCACAGCCCACCTGGTGTTAAGTGATTTACTGGAGCCCATAGACATATATAACGTAAATGCGCCACCCACCCTGAGATATAAGTTCTTAGGTCTCAGTATAGTTACAACGGCTACCCCACCCTTCAAACCGAAACGCATTACTGCTTCACGGCAGAAATAGGCGGGGTGGTGGTACCTACCCGTGCGGACTCACAAGAGGTCCTACCGCCAGTAAACATTTACAGTTACATTTTATAAACATTTGAATTCGTTATAAAAATCGTGTCTCTCACAAATTCTCCATTTAAAGCATACGTATTTACGACATACCTACGTACTAATCAAAAATAATGCACTTAAAATTACATTCAAAATCTCAAAGTAGGTGTTTAATGAATTTGACACAAAAACGTTACGCAATTTTATTTCGATAACGAAGTAAATCGAAACGTCCAAATCCGTCTCAGGGTAGGGGGTGACGTCACAAAATGGCCGCCGCCGAGGGCGAGTTTTCGCATTTTCCCCTCGACCGTTCTAGCGCGCGCACCTCTCAATTGTCAAATGCTCCATCATTTGGGCCTATATCCCAAACGCCAAGCATGAACATCGTTTAAAGAACAAATGTTCCAATTTCTGTGTTAGTGGTCAAAAGGTATTGTTAGACGACGGTTTCTCTGGCGCTTAACCTAATTAACTAAACATCAGAGCCCGTTGAGTTTCTTGCCGGATCTTCTCAGTGGGTCGCGATTCCGATCCGGTGGTAGATTCTGCGAAGCACTGCTCTTGCTAGGGCTACTGTTAGCAAATTGTCTCAGGTTGAGCCCGTGAGCTCACCTACCCGTAACTGGAATAGTCTCTTAGGCTACCAGCAAATAGGTAGGAAAAAAAAAACACCGGGTGAAAAGCAATTAATGATTTGGCATTTAGAATCATACTTTTTATTGGAAGTAACAGCTAGATAGTGAAAAGCACAGTACAAGAGGCGGCGACTTGACTGTGACCTTAAAATTACTTATGTCCATAAGCGACGGTGACCGCTCACCGTCAAGTGGGCCGTATGCTCGTCTGCCTAAAATAGCAATTAAAAAAAACACCGTAAGTACAATTGAGTGAATATATCGATCTTGGAACCGATTCCATTTTTTTCTTCTCAGTCCGACGGTTTTGTTAGAGTTCATGGTTAATTTTCACCCCGTGTACCTAGATGGAGCGAAGTAATAGGCATTTCGGGCATTATTGGAGTATATAGAAGCAATCGTGCCAGTAATTGGGAATGATTAAAATTTTCCATAGATAAAAGAATTAATGATTTATTCATCGCCTTTAGAAAACACTCCAAATGGAATGCACTGGAATAATAAAATACAAAGCCACTACTTGTTTCTAAAAGAACTGCCTTTCAGCAGACCAGGTATTTAATAAGTGTATCTTTTTAAGGTCAACGACCCTAAGTGATTTCGTATATTCAGTTAATCAGACGCGTAGTGGAAACACAATTATTACTGGTGGTAGGACCTCTTGTGAGTCCGCACGGGTAGGTACCACCGTTCCGCCTATTTCTGCCGTGAAGCAGTAATGCGTTTCAGTTTGAAGGGTGGGGCAGCCGTTGTGACTATACTGAGACCTTAGAACTATATCTCAAGGTGTGTGGCGCATTTACGTTGTAGATGTCTATGGGCTCCAGTAACCACTTAACACCAGGTGGGCTGTGAGCTCGTCCACACATCTAAGCAATAAACAGAAATTCCGGTCCGACGTAGTCAGAGCCTCAAGCCACTAAGCTAATGAGGCGATAGTAAAATAAAAACACATAGGTATTCTAGAATAAAAGTTGTAATTACTTATAACAGTCTATTCGCAAATATTAAGATGATTTGAAAATTTAGGTGGCTATAAGTATCAGAACTTGCGTATGTAGGTATGTACCGCAATAGATAAAAGAACAGAAGAAATTTGATGCCTGAATCGTGCTAACGACATATTCTTTTTTTCTATCTATGCTGATAGCCTTGATAGGCTATTTCAGCTTCACCCTATAACGTGTAGGTGAGCTCACGGGCCTCAAACCGAAAGTATTGCTAAGCAAGAGCAGTGCTTCGCAGAATCTACCACCGCATCGGAAACGCGACCCACCGAGAAGATCCGGCGAGAAACTCAGTGGGCTAACTGCCAATCGACGCTACTCCCTCGGTAGCCATATATTCCCCATGTCACTTCTTCCGAAATGTGAAATACGAATCTGGCACGTCCTTACTAAGACTCAAACAATGAATGGAATAATAACGAATATCGCATAACAAAAGTCGATACAGAAAAAATTTGAAATTTGATGTTGGAGGAAGATGCATGCGACTAGGAGATGTATGGAAATGGTAGTGCACGGTAGAGGGGGAAGACCGAAGAAGACATGGGTGGAGTGTGTGAATGACGATATGAGAGAGAGAGGAGCGAGTGTTGAGATGACGGCTGATAGAAGAGAACGGAATAGAAAAATTCGTCAAAGTATATTGGTGAGTAGTATATTATCTTTTTTCCCTTAATTCGTGTCATGGATGCATCGCGCATGAAATTCAACTAACAGATTCCGTAGACGCCAGAACATACGTGCCACCGTCAAACTTGAGGCTTAGAGCCAAAATCCTATTGATTCCATAACAAAAACAGTTATTGACAATTATAATCTTAAATGCAAAATAATAAACAAAATAGTCTACTTAAAATTTACAGCTAAAGGCTTAACAAAATTAAGATATTACAAGAATATGAATTGGAATTCCTTTAAATTTGGAGTATTAAAAAAAAAAGATGTTTGAGTGGGGCGCATATGGGGAGGACGTGGCACTAACCCTTAACCCATGGCAGCTTATAGCACGTCCGAATAGGTCATTGTAAGATTCAATTTAATGCATATTAGCTTTATTATTAAAATAAAATTATTTCACGAAGAAAACGTATAGGTAAGCTGATTAAAAAAGCATTCCTTTAAAAATTTAAACGATTTTAATTCGCCACTCTAAGCGTTGATGGTTTTTTACTGTTTTTTTTTTTAAATCATATACCTATTGCTTTTGCTGTATTTTAAATGCCCGTATAAAAGGTTTGTGCCACGTGATAAATCGTTTTTGCGCATTAAAGGTGTACAATTTCCAAAAATATTCGAAATTGAGTCAATATGCGGATTCATTTGGTATCACCAGTATTTTGCTCATAAATACTGTCAAAAGAGCGTAGTTTAGTTTTAGTTTTTTTTTTTTTAGTTTTCCTATATTTTGACTGCTATTAACAAAATTAATACATAATTTTATCTTACTTTAAAATACAGATAATGTAACTGGCAAAAAATAAAAAATAAATGTTACAAAGATGATTCAATATTAAAAATATCACACGTTAAACCTTTAAAACGCTCTCCTGTAAAATTAGTAAGTTTTGAGATTATACAGTTTTAATGCGAGAAGACGATATAGG